GATCATGCCTTACAATACCCGACGATATGGTTTAATTTTGTTTTAACTAACTATGCTCTTGATTTTTTAGTTGTTTTATTTTTTGTCTATTGTTTTATTTCTATCCTCTTATGCTACTATTAAGTTTTAGCATCTCATCTTTTGTACTTTTTCTATAATTTGGTTTTCAAATTGGTGTTTTTATTTGATTGGTTATTAGCTTATTGCAAGAAGCAAAGAATTAATATGCATCTCCAATCCAATGGGAAAAACATGTTTTCACTATTAATCCATGTGAGATAATGTAAAATACAATGATATTGTAATCCCAAATTAACTTTTAACTTAGTGGTGATGGTTAGTTGGATATGATGAGGAGAGAGTAGCATAATAACATTTGTGTGTGTATATGTATACGCACGTCTACACACACACACACATATATTAGATGTTGGAATAATTTTAGGCCAGCTTTTGTATAAAATAAGATTAAATTTATCATTTTCAAAACTAAGTCGGTATCAAAGTATACCTAACTTTTGATTTTTTATTGAACTCGCTTCTTGAACTAAATTAATCTAAATTTGATATCAAATATAACAAAATTGAATAGACAAGATCAAGATACTCATATTTCAATATTGTAAATAAGAGGAGATAATGTAAAATTTCATAATAAAAATATTTATTTCATAATAAAAATCTCAAATTTAAAAAAAAAATCTCAAAGATTTTTATTATGAAAAATTTTATCTCGATATCTTTTTTTCAAAATCTAAACCCATTTTTCATAAACATAGCAAAACAATGGAAAAATGATGCATTTTTCAAGATTTTTTTTTTTAAAAAGATTAATTTGTATGACGAAGTATAGACTATGACTAGTTGAATGGTGTTTGGGCTTTTCTCGTTGATTGAATAGTCCATTATTAGATTATCGGCAAGGCTCTAAAAACACAATGGTTTGTGTTGGGTCTTTATGAATACACTAACAAGTCGACAATAGTTTAAAAAATTATTTAAAAAAAAAAGAAGAAAGAAAGTGAAACTCACGAGGAACACTAAATTGATACCCCTAATAAAAGGGCAAACGAGAAAAATGAGACTCGGTTATCTAGGTAGTTTCGATTTTTTCACCTTTAAAAAGTAGTTGGATGATGTCGCTAAATGCTTAGGCAAATAAAATATTATTGTCTCTAGGGACTTGGAAGACCTGTAATTGTTCTTGTTGTAGTTTGAGTTGTGCATCCTAAAAAACCTTCAATACTACGATCATGGTTTGAAAGCTTGAATGTGTAACAAGCTGTGCCAAGACTTTAAGCAACTAGATGAGATAAGTCACCTCCTAGCAATGTTGGCAAGTTATCACCTTCGACTTGAGGGTTTGAAGAATTATTGTCATTCTCGATGTTAAGTAGACTAATATTATCGGCATTACCATTAGGATCAAGCAAGGCATCATTAATGATGTAGGCGGTTAAATTATGTAACATAATTAGTGTTTTTATGTGTCTTGAAATGGGACATTATTCTTTTACAATCCCTAACTTCTCGGTAGAGTTGCCAAAAATATGTGGAGAGCTCTTAAAAACTAATCAAACGACTGGTTGACAAATTAGTTAAGATACGAAGCTAGTGTTGTGATTTGTAGAATCAATAGTCAACCAACCAAGTAAAATGAATGCATGTAGTGAGAAACATGATAAGAGGAGCATATATTACTAGTAATACTCAAGTCGAGCGGTTGAAAGGTAGAGGTCAAAATCCAAACAAATAGAGTTTTAGGTGATGCCCGACACGTGAGTAATAGAGTTTTAAGAAAGAGAGTCTAAATGTTCTTTTACTAGAGATTTGAAAGTTAGAACCCTCAAAATGATGTGAGTTGATATTTATAGTGAATTGAAGATGATCTTTGACCTCCGAGATCATGCCACAAAATTTAGACGATTAGATTTAAATTGAAGAAACTATATTTTTTTAGATAAACTTCTTTAACTTGCCACGAAAGGTTAAAAAGAGTAATAATTAGGCATTTCTTTAATGGACTATTTTGAAACCATTGATTCAATCTATCTAATGCATTCCAATAACAAGACATAGACATTGACTATACTAGAATACATGTGTCCATCCTTGTGCATGCCAAAGCCTTACACTGGGTGAGACTCATTCTCTATCTAATCTATTTGTTATGCGAGCTTAAAACTTTACAAAAACCAATAAAAAATAACATCGATTAGTGCATGATAAAATTAATTAAATTTTTAATTAATTTTTATGGACAAAATAAGCCTATACATCATCTTCCTAATCATCTTGATTTTTTCCTCATCAAAGTATCGATCATAATCATTTTAACTAGATTCTTTCTCTTTTTCATGGAATTATTTCTATTAGTGTTGAAGTTGTTGTTGTCTTTACAATATCTATTATGTCTAAGATCATTGACCTTTTGGGGTGGTTTTATGAAATTTTTCTTCATGATGAGTCCGGTTTAGTGCTCGAAACTTGTAGTCGATAACTCGCTACATTTTTGCTTCATATGCCTTACTTTGTTGAATTATCTTTAATTTTAGAAACAAACAATTCTAATATGATGATGAATACGTGCTTATATGTTAGTTTCCTTTCATAATAAACTTCCAATAATCTATGGGAATTTTGAATATGAAAGCATTATTTCACGTATGTCAATCTATTTTGCTTAAAAAATCTACACCTCATTTGGTTCTATAATTGCCTATTCTCGCGTCTATCATGCTTACAATCAAGAGATCATGCCTTGTGATACTTGACGATATGGTTTAATTTTGTTTTAACTAACTATGCTCATGATTTTTTAGTTTTGTTTTTTGTTTTTTGTTTTATTTCTATCCTCTTATGCCACTATTAAGTTTTAGCATCTCATCTTTTGTACTTTTTGTATAATTTGGTTTTCAAATTGGTGTTTTTATTTGATTGGTCATTAGTTTATTGCAAGAAGCAAAAAATTAATATACATCTCCAATCCGATAGAAAAAACACGTTTTTCCTACTAACCCATGTGAGATAATGTAAAACACAATGACATTGCAATCCCAAATTAACTTCTAATTTAGTGATGATGGTTAGTTGGATAGGACGAGGATAGAGTAACGTAATAAGATTTGTGTATGTATGCGCGCACGCGTATATATATATATTAGATGTTGGAATAATTTTAGGTCGGTTTTTGTATAAAATAAGATTAAATTCATCATTTCAAAACTAAGTCAATATCAAAATATACCTAACTTTTGATTTTTTATTGAACTCGCTTCTTGAACTAAACTAACCTAAATTTGATATCAAATAAAACAAAATTGAATAGACAAGATCAAGATATTCATATTTCAATATTGTAAATAAGAGAAGATAATGTAAAATTTCATAATAAAAATCTCAAAATTTAAAAAAAATCTTTAAGATTTTTATTATGAAAATTTTTATCTGGATTTCTTTTTTTCAAAATCTAAACCTATTTTTCATAAACATAGCAAAACAATGAAAAATGACACGTTTTTCAATAATTTTTTTTTTTTGTAAAATGTTTTCTAAAAAAAGATTAATTTGTATGATGAAGCATAGACCGGGACAAGTTGAGTGGTGTTTGGGCTTTTCTGTTGCTTCTTTTTTTCTTTTTCTTTTTTAATAAATTGGATCCATGACATTAGATTTTTTTTTTAAAAAAATTTTTTTTAACTCATAGGTATCTTAGGGTTTTTGGGTTCAAGCAGTCCGTATAAATCCAAATCAGTATAATTATAACTTTTTTTGAAAAGTTGGGTTGGCTTGATGTAATGAAACTTAACATCAAACAGATGAATACTTATGATTCGGATCGGCACGGAGAAAGTTTTTTTAATGTTTCGTTTATCGTGGAAACAAAAAATACCAAATCAATCATACTATCGCATGTTCAAGCACATGACAAAAGCATAGACGCAAAGAACTTTAATCTTTAGCATAAAATAAGGAATATAATATACAGTTTATCCATCTAACAAGTTTTTGTATCAATTTTTTTCTCATGGAGATTTGGTTAGTTTGATTAAATGAATTTTTTAACATCAAATTTAAAAATCAAAGCAAGCAAACACCCATAAAATAGGATTAATGAGCAGAATATTATTTTAATTTGTTTTGAAAACACAAACACTAATATCTATATCTATATATATATATATATATATATATATATATATATTGGTGTAGTGGTTAAGAAAATATTTTTTTTTATATTAACTTTTTAATTTTGAATTTTTGATGTACATTCGCACAATTTTATTTTTTTAAATATACAAAGCTGATATTAAGTATATACTCTAAAGACTATAGAAAGAAAAACTTAATTATCATGTAAATTTACTGAAATAAACTAAATTGTGAAAAAAAAACCTAATAGTAGTACAGGTGAGTAAATTATAAATTAGTCCATCTAATTTTAAAAAATAAATTAATTAGTTTTTTTGTTTAAAAAATTATTATTTAATTTTTTAAACTAGTATTGATTATGTTTAATTTAATATTATTTATATTCTACAAAATGTATTCTTTTTTATTACTCTTTATATATATATTTTTTAAAATAAAAAGTTAAAATTAATTAAAAAAGAAAGAAATTAGGATATAAATAAATTTAAAAATATAAAGAATAAAGAATTAATTTTTAAATTAAAAAATTAATTAATTTGTTTTCCAAAACTAGATAGAATTTATTCTAGTTCCAGTACAATTAGATGACATGAGAAAAACATATTCGGCAAGGACGTCAGGCTAAGGTCAGGTATAGAACATGTAATTTTTCATTCAAAAAATTCATCACTAGCCAACCGAAGCAAAAGCCATGCCTATATCTCGATGCTATGCCAGACTCTAAAATCCAAATGGGCGGTCAGCATGCTAAGAAATGATGTCAATGCACAATTCATGTCTATCTTAAAACCTTTTTCTTTTTTTTGGATGGGTTCATTATAAATAGATAGAGACACCCGCACTGAAAAATGGCCGCCATAGTAGTATCCCTGGCCACTTCACTTACCGCTGCTGTTGCCCCATCATCTTCCTCGTTCTTGTTTTTCACCAAGTTGAAGTCAGCTCCTTGTCTTAGATTCACTTTCTCAGTTTCACCCTTTGGTTCATACGGAAGACGAGGAGGAGGCAAACTCATGGCTCACTCTTTAGCCCGTGCTACTCTTGGCCTTACTCAGCCTGCTAACATCGATGTCCCTAAGGTCAACCGCTTTTAATTTTCTCTAAAAGAGTGAACCCAGCATTTTATTTCTTTGTAAACTTGTGGTTAGATAATCCAGATTGTTGATTTTTTATGATGGTTTTATGTTTTTAAAGTCAATCATAGATTTGCTTGTGTTTTTGCGATTGGTTGTGTAGATTATTAGTTTTTTTTTAATGGGCTTTTGTTTTTAAAGCCAATCTTTTTGCATCTATATGAGTATCATTAGTTAAAACCAGTATGTTGGTTTTGCATTTGTTATGAATAAAGTTATAGTTTTGATTGGTGATCAAGGGTTGAAATCCTAATTAAACTATTTTTTTGTCGATGGGGTTTCGCTTTTTGCTTTCAAACCTCATTGATTTGTATCTCCATGCGTGATTCATGCCTTAAAGCCGTGGTATATAAATATGTAACCTGATTGATTTAGCTTTACATGGATCGGCATTGTTCTGGATTGTGTTTTTGTTATGTTTTGATTTTAAGGTGCTTTGATCAGATATTAATTGGTGAAGTTTGTGACCTTTGAATTTTGATTGTTATTTATTGGGTGCTAAAAAGATGGATCATGTGTTTGTGTAATCTTTGGCAGATCTCTTTTTCTGCAAAAGAGATTGATGTTGCAGAATGGAAAGGAGATATACTTGCTGTTGGTGTTACAGAGAAAGATATGGCAAAGGATGATAGCAAGAAGTTCGAGAATGCTCTTTTGAAAAACCTAGATGCTAAGCTGGATGGTCACTTAAGTGAAGCCTCTTCTGAGGAGGATTTCACAGGAAAACCTGGCCAGTCATTGGTTCTTAGACTTCCAGGTCTTGGTTCCAAAAGAATCGGCTTGATTGGCCTTGGACAGTCCGCAACAAACACATATACTTTTCGCAATTTTGGTGAGGCCATTGCAGCTGCTGCAAAGACTGCACAAGCCAGTAAAATTGGCATTGCACTTGCCTCGACTGGAAGTGTCTCAAATGAATCAAAGCTTAATACTGCTTCGGCAATAGCATCTGGTACTTATGTTAGGAATTGATGGCATTGTGACTATTGATTGTGTTAACAGCTGAAAATAATTTATGTTGAATGGTTTAAATTGTGACAGGGACTGTGCTGGGAACATATGAAGATAATAGGTATAAGTCAGATTTTAGGAAACCTGTGCTTGAATCTGTGGATATTCTTGGTCTTGGAACTGGACCCGAGCTAGAGAAGAAGCTCAAATATGCTGAAGATGTTTCTTCTGCTGTAATTTTTGGAAAAGAGCTTGTCAATTCACCAGCCAATGTACTCACCCCTGGTCCGTATTTGCTTCATTCCCCTTACAGTTTACATGCATAATGCACCATTTAGAATTACAACCTGACCTAATGTTTTGATGGGCCATATTTGATATGTTCCTCCCAAGAAATGGATATGTGTCCGTACGTGTGTTCACCATTTTAATTGTCGCAATGGCTTCTATGTTTCAGCGGTACTGGCAGAAGAAGCTTCAAAGATTGCTTCCACATACAGCGATGTTCTTTCTGCCAACATCTTGACTGCAGAGCAGTGCAAAGAGTTGAAAATGGGATCCTATCTCGGTGTTGCTGCAGCTTCTGCTAATCCTCCCCATTTCATCCATTTGTGTTATAAGCCCTCAAGTGGACCTGTTAAAGCCAAGTTGGCATTAGTTGGAAAAGGATTGACATTTGACAGGTGAGTATATATTTTTCAAAATGTCATTTTCAGTTCTAAAACCAACTGTGGGGATAAGGTGTAACTTTTGGAAGTTCAATGTGTGATGGGGTAATGTAACATCATTTGGATAGTGATCGTTCATGTACCAAGCAGTCTTGGTTATGCTTTGTCAAGGAGGAGGTCAAGCTTCTGATCCTCTCTCATCATGTGCTCTTCCCTTGTTTTTGGAACTGGTGCTTTTTGTCTTTTATGCTTTCTGTTGTTTGGATGTCAGTAAGGGTTCTTGAATGCCTTGTCTTTTATGTTTCCAGTGGCGGCTACAACATCAAGACAGGACCTGGCTGTTCCATTGAGCTCATGAAATTTGATATGGGAGGTTCAGCGGCAGTTTTAGGTGCTGCAAAAGCCATTGGTAAAGTTAAACCTCCTGGGGTTGAGGTAAGCCATTTGTGTTGGCCGTCTTGTCATAGTCATTGTCAAAACCATGTTATTATCAATCTATTTAAAATGCTGGTTTCTTTCCGTCCTTTTTACCACAATTCTTTTGCAATTACATGTGCATTTTTTTTTCAAATTTAAATGCCCTCGAGACTCAGCAGAAATTTGTCATGCAGGTTCATTTCATTGTTGCAGCTTGCGAGAATATGATTAGCGGAACCGGTATGAGGCCAGGAGATATAATTACAGCCTCAAATGGAAAGACGATTGAGGTATAGCTTCATCATCCTGCAGGAAAAATAAAGAGGCTCTTTTTATTTGATTTAAGTGTTGTCTTTTGCATGGATTAGACATACATTTAGGAATCTCTGTTTGTCATTACCTCACCCCCACCCCCCAACCATCAGCACCCAACAATGGTAACCTCGCTATTGCAATTTGTGCACCCTGCAATATTGTAATATTTTAATCAGAGTCATTTTGTTAAAAAGCATGCCCTGTTTGTTTTCTGTTAGTCATTGTAGGGTGGAGAGAGCAATAAATTAGGTTTGTGTTATTTGAATCAGGCATGTCCAAATCCCAGAAGCCAGCTATCTCACAAAAGTTTATCATATGGACCTTTTGAGTCATTCTCTTGCATTAACAGAAAAGCTTAGCTGTGGCTTGTTGGTTTGTGCCAGGCAGCTTGGCTTGTCTGTTAACTGCAGACTCGTTCCAGTTTGGGTTTTTTGTCCTCTTGTCATTGACTCCTTAAGTGATGCCTTTTGTTGTCTGCAAGGTTTTTTGATGTATGTAGTTTCTTATTGTCAATGCATCAAAAGGGAACAATAAAAAAATAAAATAAAATAAAAGCATCACAAGATAGATAAGCTCATTTACTATTGCTGTCATTAAGTAGCTTGTTTGTACATTTAACTACGAGGCAAACTGAACTATGATCAAGAGGATGCAAAACCTTTTTTGTCCTTCATATTATTAAGGGTTGGATAATTCTTTTAAGTTCTTCAACCAGTTATGTAATATCATGCTGGATAATTCTGTTGCAGGTCAATAACACTGATGCTGAAGGCAGGCTTACACTTGCAGATGCTTTAGTTTATGCCTGTAACCAGGGTGCAGAGAAGGTACAATTTAAATATAGTATTGTGACAAATCAGATAAACATTTTGTATGTCTTGAGTGGTCATGTAAAATATATGTTTACGTGGGTGGAAGTTTTGAATTTTTATGAGCTACATAAGTTGAACTTTTTGTTCCTTGAATTTGACTAGCACTCAAAATAGAAGTTGTATGACCTCATATTATCATCGCTAAAGTTAACACGATAAGGATGTTGCATGCTGATAGTCAGACAGTTGTTTAGTTTGGATTTAGAATATTGCTGAATGTCATTAATTATTTTGCAGATAATTGACTTGGCGACCCTAACTGGAGCCTGCGTAGTTGCTCTCGGGCCCTCAATTGCCGGTACATGCATATTTTCAACGATCATGCAGGGTTGTGCTGAAAAGCAAGTTTTGAGCACGACTCTGGTTTGGGTCGAGTTTTAAGAATTTCTTTCCTTTTTGTTTCCTGTAGCTGGGGGAAGGGAGGGGTGGGGTTTGCAGAAAAGCAAGTTTCAAAGACACACTGCTATTATGATAAAACTACCCAGAGATTTTAAGAATTTCTGAAAGGTTTAAATGAAGTCTGTCCCCAGCAAAGGATGTGGCCATGCTTTAGTTGTCTGCAGTTCTTATAACACTGTTTATAACTACTGCACTTGTGTCTTCAAGTGTCTCAAAGACTAATAATACATGGTGGCTTTTTAAACTTGGTGTTTGTAGTCAATAATAGAACTGACACCTTTTCAAGGTTTGATTTGATTATTAAATTGCCTGTTGTTTAATTAGTGGGAAACCATTTTTTATGCAGGTGTTTTTACACCCAGCGATGAGTTGGCAAATGAGGTATTTGCAGCAGCAGAGGCCAGCGGAGAGAAACTTTGGAGGATGCCATTAGAGGAAAGTTACTGGGAGTCCATGAAGTCAGGAGTTGCTGATATGGTAAACACTGGTGGTCGTCAGGGTGGTGCTATCACTGCAGCTCTGTTTTTGAAACAGGTATGTGATCATGACAATCACTGCCTATTCTTATAGTTGTGTTCCTATCTTGCCTTTTGATCTTCACAACTGTATCACCCGTTACATGGACTTGCAAAGCGGTCTCTATGTGGGTATGCAACCATGTTTAGAGCTCATCTACTTGGGAGATTTTCCACTAGTTTCTACTATTCCTATCAATGTAGAAGTGTTGGATATGGGCGCTTCAAGGTGAAGTGTCTAGGTAATTTTCTGAAATTTTCTTGTATGTGCGTTGTCATCCAGAACGACTGGTGACAGCAGTTGGACAGACGCTGTCCATGGATGAAGAACCAAAGAGGCTTTTAATGCACCACAATGCGCATTGGCTATTTCAACTTTAAGCTTGACAAAAATCAAGCCATTTACATCACTCCTTGCATCTTTTTCACCGAGGGAAAAAAAAACTTTAATAATTTATTGCTCCTAAGTGCTTGTTTCTTCACATCATCATATCATCTCACTTCTCAGGAAAACCTGAAAAATTATCTTTGATTTTGCAGTTTGTTGATGAGAAGGTTCAGTGGATGCACATTGACATGGCTGGCCCTGTCTGGAATGAGAAGAAGCGAACTGCAACAGGATTTGGCATCCAAACCCTGGTAGAATGGGTCCAGCAACACTCTTCCTAGATATCAAATGTGAAGAGAGTCGAAAAGGATGGAGGGGAAAGGGAAGCTTTGTAAGGCTGTTTGGTGGTGCTGTGAGTCAGTTATATGAATAAAAAAGATCAAACAATGGGATTTTGCTTTATGAGGCATAGTTTGGTTTTATCTCATTACCGTAAATTCTATTTCCTGGTTGTTTTTTTTTTTTTTTTTAACTTGGATAAAAAGAAAAAGAAAAAAGAAATCGGTATCCATTAGTTTGTCATTATCTTCTCTTCCAAGCCGTCTGCATGCATGATGAAAAGGCTCTAATGGAGTGTTCATGACTTTAGGAAGTTGATAGTTTGGTTTGGAGTTTAAATTGGGAAAAAATAGAGAAAAACAAAGATCCATGGTAGTCACATATATATATATATGATTCAAAACAAAAATAGAGAAATCGGTATGCTCGTCTGATAGATAACTGAAGCTGGTGATAGCTCTCCTAGTGATATTCAAAACAAAAATGACCTCAACAACCGTTATATTTGTTTGAGTATTGGGAAGTTCAATCCCTTTAATTTCCTCCAAAACCTCAATCTCTTTCATCATAAAGTTCTTTTTAGACCCAAATTTTAGATTCACCCGACGTTCAGTTTGAGTATTGATCGAGCATTTCAACTAACCTAACAGTACGATGCATATTTTTGTCTCTGAGTACTTATCATATTTCCCTTTTATAAGGATTTTTCTCAAAGATTCCTTTGAAGATTCAATAATGGACATGAAAGCTTCCATGGCCTCAACAACCGTTATATTTGTTGGGTTTTTAATTCGTGTCGTAGATCAGGACCTGTGAGAGAAATTGCAAGAAGTGAAGATTAATGTTGGGATGAGTTTACATGTTCAAAGGATATTTTAAGTATTAGATATAAATTTGATGGATCCGTCAACAATTTTAACGTGAGAAATATAAAAAATTTTTATAATACACTGGGAGTAACTAGTGACATACAAAAAAAGAGAGAAAAACAATAAAGAGAAAATAAAAAAATTTGAGCGGACGTGGAAATCTTCTTATCACTTTTGATGAGTATCGATGTAATTTCTATCTTTTTTTATGTGTCTATCTCTCTTTTCAAAATGAATCCATGAAGTAATTACTTGTATATACCACTAATTACTCCTGGTGTATTATAAAATTTCTCGAGAAATATATGGTAATATTTGTTTATAAATGATTGTTACAAAAATTATTGATAATACTTGTAAATTTGTAAATAAGAAAGAATGCACTTGAAATATTAATTAAAGAATTTTGAACATTATGAATTGCAAAACTCGTCAACTATTGTATATTTATAACGACGATTTGTATAATCAATAAATTAAGTCAAATATTTATCTAAGTTTTGGTACTGATTAGACATTTAATCTGATTTTGTACCATCAAAAGAAACTGAATACAAAAAGAAAAACAAGAAAAGGAGAATTTACTGAGGATGTTTTATATTTTAATACTTCTTATGATAGTTTCTATGCATATTTAACATTCATACTCCTTAAAAAAAAACTTAGTATATATATATATATATATTTTTTTTTTTGAGATTTTATTTATCCAACCTTTTGTTATAGCCAAAGTCTAATTCGGTAGACAGCCTGATCGGAAACAAACCTAACTGGACTGTACGATCTGAAAAGAATCCAGAAAATTAAAAATCCGCTAATCGTGCATTGATGTCTTCGAAGTTTATTTTTCTTAGCTTTTTAATGTTTGACTTCCCGCTTTAATTATGAGTTTTGAATCCTTTTTTACTAGGATTAGTATATAATTTTATAAGATGTTGAATTTTCAATTTCTTCTTCATCTTTTATAATTTTAATATTACTTTTACAGTGGTAAAAAATTTACCCTTGACCATAAAGCAAGTAACAAAATTTACCTTTTACTTTTACATTATGTTATGGTTATCCGAGAAGATAGATACATAAAAAAAATATAAAAATTATATTTATACTCGTCAAAAGTGTTAAAAAGATTTCTACGTTCGCTCAAATTTTTTTTATTTCTCTCTCTCGTCTCTTTTTGTATGTCTATCTCTCTTCTTAAAGTGGACTCATGGAGTAATTATTGTACATATTACTAGTTACTCCTAGTGTATTATAAAATTTCTCGATCTTCTCCTTCCAAAACACGTAATAGCATCTCATCACAATCTTGTAAATTCAGAATTACTATTCATTTATTTTTTTAAAAAAAATGAATCCTTTATTAATTTTGTTTGTTGTTTAACAAGCAAGATTTTATTAGGACTCTTTCAAAACTATAGAATTAATTAATATTAGAAGCAACAATAATATCTACAAAAAGCGATTCAATTGCAAAAATTTTCGAACTTTCAACAATGACGTTTAAAGTTGGAAATTTATTATTTATTTATTTTTTTTTTGCTATCACAAGATTTATGTTTTCTTTTTCAATTCTTAACATATAAAAAATTTAAAATTTTCGATTTAAAACCAATTTATATGCAACAAAAGTAGTTTACAGATTATCAGTTTCAAGTGAAAAAAGAGGAAGCAATAATAACTGGGATAATTACGATGATGATCTGAAAAAATCCTAAATTATTGCAGGTGGAAAGTGATATTATTATTTGACAGATTGAGTTTTAAAAATAGGAGTATTTTTTTAACACCAAAAATAATTACAACTACTGTTTAACATTCACGCATTTTAAGACAGCGATTAATTACTGCAACATGCGCAACCTCTGTGTTTTTCTGTTTTCTCTACTTTCACATTTGCACAGCAAGGAAAACTAGAAAAGTACTCCACACTTTAAAAAAATAAACTGTACAGCACCGAATCCAATCAATACAAGCCTACTCAGCCTGAACTCACTTTACAAGAATGGCATATACCATTGCTATTAGCTGTTTCGCTCTTCTTGGAAAATTTTATGATTAATAACCATGTTATTATGCTTGTTGAGAATTAAAAAAAGATACACACAATAAGAAGAGCTAGTTTGTATTTAATGAAAAAGAGAAAAAATGAGTGTTTCTTTGACAGTGATGGCCTTTAATCTTCATGAAGATCAGGCTGAAGACAGTCCAAATTCATGGGAGAAGAGGAAGGATTTGTGTATTAGTGTCATCACTAGTTACTCTCCTATGATTCTTTGTACTCAACAAGGTTTGCTGCTTCTCTTTTTTTATACGTGTGCTTGTGTGTGATCTTGTTTCTGGTTGTGTTTTCTATGGAAAGGATGATCTGGGTGTCTTTTTATTTCTGTTTTAGAGATGGGTTCTTGTTCTTTTGAGCTCTAGTTGAGTTTTTGGTGGGGAGTTTTGTTCAATGCCTATATGGGTTGTCTTTATGGTTTCTTTGACTTGGGTTACTTGTGTTTACTTCTCCTTGTTGATCTGATTATGTTTCAGTTGGAATTTGAATGGTTTCCTATTGGTACCTCTTATTTTCATTTCTAACTTTTGTTTTGTGTGTGGATTTAGGTGTGAAAACACAGTTGGATTATCTTCAGCAGTGCTTGCCAGGTAATTTTTTTCTAATGGATTTATCATTTGGCTTCTAACCTTATACAGTGACAAGTAATTGAGACGTTGTTAGTGCAATTTTCTTTTCTCAATGGTGCTGCTATGTGACTTGATGCATTTATTGTAGTCAACATATTCATTGGAAATACCCAAGACAGAAAGATATGGAGCTCTTTAACCTCCCTGTAGCAGCAAATTGCCTAACTATGTCACTTCGGTTCTGTGACATTTATGAAGGCCATATGATTAAATTGGTCTATATTCCTGATGCATCAGCATTTGGCAGGATGGATGACATGTTGAACTGCCGAAGTCATACAAATCTTATAATTTTGCTTTCTTAAATAGAACCATTGTCCTGAGGGCTTATGCACGACCGTCACCAATAAAATATGGAAGGGATAAGTCCTAACAAGCTTGTGTTTCTCTTTTTCTATTGTTAGATTTTTCTATATTTCTGCTTTTGATAGTATTGTGTTTTGGCATTCAAATGTATGCAGTGGTAAAAACTCGTTTTTGGCTAACCAGAAAACTGGGCTTATCTTTGGGTTCATTGTTTATATCTATTAGGTTATGGTCAATTTGGAATATCAAGAAAAGGATCTCAAGACACTTCAGATGAACACTGCACTATCTTCTATGACAAGGAAAAAGTATGAAATGGCTTACTCTTCGATCTGGTTGAGATTTCCAATTTTGTTTTTATCCGAGATATTGATGGAATTTGGCCACTCTTCATGCTCTTTTCTTATTTAATGAAGGTAGAGCTGCTAGAAGGTGGAACATTTTGGCTATCAGAGTCGCCTTCTGTCCCAGGAAGCATTTCATGGGGTGCTGCAGTTCCATGTATTGCAACATGGGCTATATCCTTCCCAATACTAGTTTTGTCAAATTTACATTGTTTATCTGCCAAGTCCCTTTATTTTTATTTGGACTTTCGAAAGTGTCTTTTGCCAATTTTCCTTGACATGATGTCACACATTCCAATTGAAAGGGATTGAGCCTCCGGGCTTTTCATTTCAGATAGTGAATACAAAAATGGATGAGTTAAGTCCTCGTGCACGTCGACGAAGTGCTTTACTCACATGGCAACACATTGCATCCTTACCTCCTAGCTTACCTGTTGTGTACTGTGGAGGATTTAACACACAGAAGGAATCAACTACAGGACGTTTTCTTCTAGGGAGATCAAGGTATCTTCATTACATTTAAGTTGTAATTTTCTCATCCCAGGTTTATTGCACGATATTGTGAAGAGCCCATGGTTAGGTTTCAAGTTTGAAACTTCTTATAGATACCATTAATATTAATCAATTAGCCGAAAAAGAAATGGTTCCTTTTCACTTTTTCTGGAATAGGATGCTCGTGCTTACAAAACTGCATATGACTTCTTTTCTGAAATGAAGATAAGACCTTTCATGGTTCCTTTCTGAACGATCTTGCTTTTTTTTTAATTTGTACAGACAAGAATAAATTACCTAATGTTCATATCATTTTATTTATAATATGAATGATAATTTCAATTCAGCCTCTTCAGTTCTAAATTTTTTCTTAGATAATAGGTGTCATAAGAATGTTAATTGCTCCTTGTCCGGTAAACATGATGTAGCTTAGTCAGGTTGATGATCACATGGTTTTTGTGCATCACTATTAACACGGATTTCAAAAAGTTGCTATGGTTGCTAGTCAACTCTGTTTATTTGCAATGAAATTGAACTTAAGAAGGAAATCTTTGATACTACGGGGCGGAAGTTTTTATATCTTGGTCAATGACAGTACATTTATGAAATGCCTAGTTTGAGAATTGAGGCTTCCATTCCCAAAGTTATGTAGAAAACAATCCCCTGGGAAGCAAGGAAAGCCATTTATCTTTATCTTGTGAAATGTTGCTTAGGGATTTATGAGCATTTTACTTTCCTTCTTAGTGACTATTTAAGGGATTGATTCTGTTGCCACTGGCATTTCCTCTGCAGAGAGCATGGAGTAGTGGGAGACATGAGGGATACATGGCCGAATGCTCGAGTGAGGAAAAATGTTTCGCTCATACACACTTACCATGGTTTCAAAGGTATGGTTTTGCTTCTCTTTTAAAGATCGTGCATTATGATATTCCTGTCACTACTCAATTTTTCGGCATTGTCAGGTGACAAGCAAGGAGCTCTTGAATTCTTCAAGTTGATCTTGAGGGCACTCTGCCTCTGTTGGGACCGGCAAACGCAGGATCTGCATGTAGATTGGATTCTTTTCAGAGGTAGATCTTTGATTCCTGTCCTGTGCGAATTGGTGAACGATAATATAGATGGGCATTATCCTTCCTCACACTACCCTATATTCGCTGAGTTTATGCTTCCTCGTTCTGTGAGACAGCTTGAACCACCTCCCACTCAAGAAGAAAGTCCAGTTACTGTCTGATTTGCAGCTGACCCTTCCCTTCCCTCCTCTCCTCTGCTTGTTCTTTCCCATTAAACACTACTGGTATCAACTATCATTCATTGATTTCAGTGAGAGTATAGGTAGCTATTTCAAGCACAACATTCTTTTTCTGGCTATATCGGGATATTCCAGTGATTTACTTTTTCTTGTATCCGTAAGTCACGGTGTAGTTTTTTTATGCGAGGATAAATTATCAACTATCAACGGAAAACTGCATAATAAGTAAAGCCAATTAGAACCAATTGTCTCTAAATTAGAAACCAATTAGAAAATCCATAGAAATAATTAAAGCCTGTAGTAAATAAATAGAAAATAAAAAACTGAAGACCACATGGTCTATGAGACATAAATATGTTTTTATTAAAAAACATCACGATGATCTAAGACATGGACCCAACTAGGATTTTTTGTTTTTTTTTACAGTTGAAAAGGCAAAGGATCAGATTTGAGTCCTCACGTCAGTCGTCTCTGCAGGGGCTACTAAACTCAGATTTTATTCAATAAATACCATCATACACATAATAGCAAGCAATATTTTTTTTTTTCCAAGACATGAATAATTTAATGGCTGGATAATATAATCAATGAACTTTTTCGGTAATTGAAATTGACTAATTATTATTGAGTAGAAGATATGCATTATGTAATGCCACCAACTAAATTTCAAGGGGTTGGTCTGCTATATATCTGTATATATATGGAGTTATTTTTTTTATCAATTTTTACAGATTAAATTTATAATTTTTCGAACTAAACCAATTCAAATTTGATGCTATTTAGAGATAAATTAAATCTTAATTTTGATCAAATCAAAATAACTTTTTTAATTCCAAACTACTTTATTGGTGATTTAGTAGTTAAAAAAATTGTTTTCTGTTTTAATTTTTAGGTTCAAATCTCAGGACCAATATATGACGATATAAAAAATGCGTTTTTAAGATTTTTTTTTTTTTTTTAAAAGATGAATTAAGCCTTGATCTACATGGGAATTTGCCATATAATATTCTTATAAAAAAAAAAATACTATGACTGACCAAACAAGTTATCTAAAACTTCAAGACAATAGAGAGTTATATATTTAATCAACAAGGACATGTGGGATGAAGTTGGCTGGCTAGTGGTTGGGGATGAATATTATTATTATTATTATTATTATTATTTTGAAAAAAAAACTAAAGATAGTGTAGATCGAGTTTGGTCATTGCGTGTGGACTAGGTTAGCAATGATCCCTAGACCGAGCAAGTCTACTGGTTTCTAGTTAAATAAAAGGTAAACTATATTCTAATCCTTATAAATTCTGCAATGTTCTTCTTCGGCTTTTATAGTTTAAATTTTTTTGGTGACAAATTTATTAGTGCTGATAAAAAGTTTCAAGGTGATCATTTGAAGTTAATAACTAATGAAAACTAACGATGAGATCATTTTTCAATTTTAATGTTGAGAATTTTTAAATTTTAAGGGAATTTGTGGAATTCTGCCTCATGTATGAGGTTTCGGGAGGGAAAAAAAGTGAATGAAATATGAGTAAATTATATATTAATCTTTTTAATTTTGAGAAATGAATTAATTAGTCATCTTTATTTTAAAAACTAATTTTTAGTCTTTAAATGTTTAAATTTTCCTGTAACTTAATCTTTTTCATTTTTTTCAATTTATTTTAAATAATAATAATAATAATGTAAGTAAAAAAATATGGAAAGATTAATAAGAAAATATGACATTTTATTAAAAAAAATAAATTAAAGATGACCAACACTTGTTAATAGATTAAATAATTAATAAGTGTTTAAGACAAAAGAGATTAATTAATTTGTTTATCAAAAATATTTAGATTAATTTATAATTTACTCATGAAAACAAGAGATATGCTATATTTATTGATTTTTCTAATTGAAACCCTAGAGTTAGTTTCGATAGAAAATTATTAAATTATTTTGAATACATCATACCTATGCGAAAAAGCGCTCTTGAAAACATTTTAATCTCAATTGATACTCAATCTAGTTCCATTATATTGTCAAAAGAAGGAAAAAAGAGAGAGAGAAAAAAAACTATTTAAGAGTTCCATCGAAACTTTTGAAAAATTTTAAGATTAATATTGGAAAAGCTTTCTATAAGGAACTGAAGTGGAACATTATTAAATGTTCAAGGCTAAAATATATTTTTTCCTTAAAACGACTGTAGAACAAAAAAAAAAAAAGTTTACGCAAAATAATAGTCAATGCAACCCAAGCATATGGTTCATTGATGAGTAAATTATAAATTAGTCCCCTTCGATTAAAAAAATGAATTCATTAGTCATCTTTTTTCAAAAATTATTTATCTAATCTATTACGTTTTGTCAATAATTTAGTTTTTTTTTAACTCAGTTTTTAATTAAAGTAATGATTTTTATTTTCAAATTGCTATTTTTTTTTTAATTTTTGGTTCAAATGAGAGAGAAAAAATAGAAAAAGAAATGAAAAATTAAACTAATGACAATTTTTTTAAAAGTCATTAATGTAATAGAAAACTAATAAAATAACTAAATTATTAATGTAATTAAAAAATAAAAAATTAAATTAATTTTTTTATAAAAACTAATTAATTTATTTTTTAAAACGAGCTGAATTAATTTATAATTTACTCTTCATTGATCGCTGGCACGAGAGTTGCAGCGACGGGATCCACTGCCACCCTACCATCTCAGTTTTTTTTTAATACTCTTTTTCTTGGTTTTTTAGCAATCCTGCAATCTCGGTTAGGTGGGGGTGGTGGGGGTCCCACTCACTCTCAAAATGCATGCTCCTGTCTTAGGTGTGGTTGGGCCCACATTATTGATTGTTTTTCACTAATTAGCATGATAGTCATGATCGAAACATATTTCTTTCTTTCTTGTTAGAATTTATAAATTTTGATAATGTATTTTAGCTAATTAATATAATATAATATCGGTAAAGTTGATTTTTCTACACCCTAGCTTCTTTTCATCATGATTCTCTCGTTTATAGAATAAACATTTTATTAGAACCAAGAATATAGGTTATAATAGGATACCTATTCCATATATAATCTTTTGTCAGACATTGATGTTTGGTATTTATTCTTTTCTTTTGTTTTTTAATTATTTTGAAGAAATTTTATAATACATAAAGGAGTAACCAGGTGACATATATCGTGGTTATTTCTTAGACTCACTTTGAGGAGAGAGATAAATATATAAAAAGAGAGAGAGAATAAAAAAATTTTAGCAGACGTGGAAATCTTCTTATCACTTTTAGTGGATATGAATATAATTTTATTTTTTTTATGTGTCTATCTCTCTCTTCAAAGTGAATTCGAGGAGTAACTATTGTATATGCCACTAGCTACTCCTTATGTATTATAAAATTTTTCATTATTTTGATTGAGAAAATGATACAAAATCTGTGTATCGACACATCAAAGAAATGAAAAAAAAAAAAGTCGGAAATTGCAAATTTTGAGTGGATTACGATTGCAATTTAAGAGAAATTTCATTATTGCAAACCCTTTTTTGGATTAGAATCCAAGCTAGACCAACATAAAAGAAATAATTAGACCATATTAACCAAAATATGGTACTGATTAACTATTTTTTTTCCGAAAAGAAAAAGGGGGTCAATTTCCATGATTTAAAAAAGAAAAAAAAACAAACAACTTATGTAGAACATTAATTAGACAATAATGATAATTAGTAAATAATCAGACCTGGTAAAGCATTAATTAGTTAATATCCATTTTGGGAGTGGACAGAACCAAAAAACCACGCAGACACGAACGCACCTCCTCCAGTTTCCTTTCCGTTTCCATTTCTTACTGCTAAAGCAGAAACACAAAGAAAAATAAAGAATCTCAACCAAGAAACTGAGAGAGAGAAGCAAATTAGTGGAGATCTGATTTAGTTAGCAATAGCAGCCATGGCGAGAAGTTCTCTCGCGCTGAAACTAGGGGTCTTTTTTATATCATCTTCTTTGCTTTTGCTGTTGTTAGCCTATCAGCCTCATTCCTTCTATCTTCCTGGTGTCGCCCCTGAGGATTTTACAATTGTAATTTACTCTACACCCTTACTTTACTTATATATATGCATGTAGTTTCTGTCTATTTTTTTTTCTTTTGCAGAGAAATCAAAGATTTTGGGTTAGATCTTCTTGCTTCTCCTTTTGTTTCTTGATTGTCTGTTACTTATTATTATTTTTTTTTGCATGGGATTTTTTTGTTCCTTGTCATTTATTATTTTATATTTTGACAGCTGTTGATTCTTGTTCTTTTGTGATTTATGGGATTAATTTTATATTTGGTTTTGTTGTTTTTTCAAGTAAATGATCGGGAAATTTTTGTTTCTTTGTTGGTTTAAAATAGATTGCGATTTTGCAATCTGGAGGTGAAAAATATTGGGTTGATAACAAAAATCTGATTTTGTAATGGAAATTTGTTTAATTTAGAGAGTTCAGATGGTTTTGTAGAAGAGAAGGTATTAACGGGAAATATGGACACGGAAAAAATATATATAAAAAGGAATTAGTAAGGGAAGGAAGGAGGGTTGAGCTACAAGTAGTGCTTCTCTTCCATCTTAAACTATATCTACCTCTAACTTATCATAATGATCTCGCGTCACTTTACCATCTGAGCTATGTTGAACTGTTGTGGTTGGTTGTATCTTTTTGCTGCTGTTTTCCGTAGTGACGCAGGCATCTTTTTGTCAATGACTTAGTTTAACTCTCAGAACTGAGTGAGATCAAACAGTTTTGCCCCAAATATTGACATTTTGAATTTGGGATCTTGAATTTATCAGGTTTCCACATTTATTTATAATGATTGTGTTGTTCGATCTAAGTGTTTGTGGTGTATGGAGAATACGATGGGGATGGGGGTGGGGGGAACTGAGTGAGTGTCACATGTTCTTTGTTACCATCAACGCCAAGTTCTCAAATGTTAATTCTTATTTAAATGCTTGAATGTTTATGAATTCTTATATCCGTTAACCTTGCATTATGTGGTTTGTAAATGGCTTGTGGTGATGTTCCAAGGTAAATGTTTTAGTGCTCGGGAACTTAGTTACCCTCACTGAATTATTTTTATAGGATTCTGATTCAGTCATCTCATTGTGGATACCTCAAGCACCGTCTCCTTCGTGGTTTCTATCTTATGCTTTATATGTGTTTTCCATTTGATGAAGTAGACAAGTTTTAACATCTTGTTTACCATTTCAGGGGTCCGAGTTAAAGGTGAAAGTAAACAAACTGACTTCTACAAAAACACAACTTCCATACTCGTACTATTCCCTTCCCTATTGTCCTCCAGAGCGTATAGTTGACAGTGCAGAGAATCTTGGGGAAGTTCTTCGTGGTGATCGCATTGAAAACTCTCCTTATGTGGTAAGCTTTCTTAATATAGCTTACTAGTTGGCTCTCTCTCTGCTTATGTCCTCTCCTGTGGCTATTGTGTGGGTTGATGTAAACATTTTGTTGCAGTTTCAAATGAGAGAACCGCAACAGTGCAGAATTTTATGTCGTATAACCCTTAATGCAAAAACAGCGAAAGAATTCAAGGAAAAGATTGATGATGATTACCGGGTCAACATGTGAGTGCTAATTCCTTACACTTTTGTTATGATTTTTATGTGAATAACACCCCTTCTGACTTTCTGGCGTAAATGCTGTATGGAACAGGATTTTGGACAATCTTCCACTTGTTGTTCCCATTCCAAGGTCTGATCAGGAAAATGCAGTAGTGTATCAACATGGCTTTCATGTTGGTCTTAAAGGGCAGTATGCTGGGGTAAGTTCTTGATTTATCAATTTTTATTATTATTATTATTGAATGCAGAGTAGCGCTTTCTGAAGCAAATTTTTTTTCTGCAGAGCAAAGATCTAAAACATTTTATCCACAATCACTTAACATTTACTGTCAAATATCACAAAGATTCTCAGTCAGATTTAGCCAGGATTGTTGGGTTTGAGGTCAAACCATTCAGGTTATACTCTATGATTCTATGCTTCTCAATCTTTTGTTGGTTTCTATTAACTTCTCCCTGTCTCTGAAATGACAGTCTGCTTTTTTATTCTAAGACTTGGCTATTTTAATGAATCCAGTGTTAAGCATATGTATGATGGTGAGTGGAAGAATGAGAATACGCGCCTAACAACCTGTGATCCCCATGCAAGGCGTGCAGTTACTAGCTCCGAGTCTCCTCAAGTAATTGAGGATAAGAAGGACGTAATATTTACATATGATGTTGCATTTGAGGTCAGCTCCCGTACTTGTAAAGAATCATCTTTTCTGGTTGCTGCTATGACCCTGGCTTATAGTGTTGTTTTCTACTGTTGGCCTGTCTTGTTTTACATTGCAGGAAAGTGATGTGAAGTGGGCTTCTCGGTGGGATACCTATCTTTTGATGGCTGATGATCAAATTCATTGGTTCTCTATTGTCAATTCTTTAATGATTGTTCTTTTCCTCTCGGGGATGGTGGCTATGATCATGTTGCGGACACTTTATCGGGATATCTCCAAGTACAATCAACTAGAGACCCAAGAGGAAGCCCAAGAGGAGACAGGATGGAAATTGGTCCATGGGGATGTTTTTCGCCCTCCAACTAACTCAGATTTACTCTGTGTATATGTTGGGACAGGGGTTCAGTTTTTTGGAATGATTGTTGTTACTATGGTATTTGCTGCTCTTGGTTTCCTCTCCCCTTCAAATCGAGGTGGTTTGATGACGGCCATGCTCCTTCTCTGGGTATTTATGGGTCTTTTTGCTGGATATGCTTCAGCTCGTCTTTATAAGATGTTCAAGGGAACAGAATGGAAGAAAATTACTCTGAAAACAGCGTTCATGTTTCCTGCAACAGTCTTTGCCATTTTCTTTGTCTTGAATGCTCTAATATGGGGCGAAAAGTCATCTGGGGCAGTGCCTTTCGGAACCATGTTTGCTCTGGTATTCTTGTGGTTTGGCATTTCAGTTCCACTTGTCTTGGCTGGTAGTTATATTGGTTTCAAGAAGCCTGCAATTGAGGATCCAGTGAAAACCAATAAGATCCCAAGGCAGATTCCAGAACAGGCCTGGTACATGAACCCAGTTTTCTCGATTCTAATTGGAGGCATTCTTCCATTTGGAGCTGTCTTTATCGAGCTCTTCTTCATCCTTACATCGATATGGCTTCATCAGTTTTACTACATCTTTGGTTTCTTATTCATTGTCTTTATCATCCTCGTTGTCACTTGTGCCGAGATCACAATTGTGCTTTGCTACTTCCAGCTGTGCAGTGAGAACTACCTTTGGTGGTGGAGGTCTTATCTGACATCGGGGTCCTCTGCGCTCTACCTCTTCCTCTATGCTGCTTTCTACTTCTTCACGAAGCTTGATATTACAAAGCCAGTGTCTGGGATCTTGTACTTTGGCTACATGCTGATTGCCTCATATGCTTTCTTTGTGTTGACTGGCACAATTGGCTTCTATGCCTGCTTCTGGTTTACCAGGCTCATTTACTCATCAGTGAAGATCGATTAATTGTTTGTTTCTACACGAGGAAGAGCAAATACCTTGGTTGAACATGGGTTCAGAAATGGGGGAAATAGGTACATTCAGAATTACCATTTGGGTTAATTTTTTAATCTTAAACCATAGAAATTGTCATTAGCCATTCCAATACAGGTTTGGTAGATCTAGGTACCTTACAGTTTTTCTTTTTTGTTTTTTCGGTTTGTCTTTTATGTTTCCCTTTCTGGTGACGCCCAGGGGGACTGTTAAACAGTCTCCCTGCTCTTTCTACTAGAAATGAGAATGAGTCCTTGCACATTTCGTGCTAGTGCCTGTAGTTTTAAATAGCAATGTTGCCCGTTGCAATAATAGATGCGGAAATTAACAGTTAAAATCATTTAACAATTGTTATAAATTTTAAAATACATGTTAATTTGATATTTTATTAAATACACATAATAATAGCATTTTTAGTTGTATACATACTCCATCATAATTTAATGATAATTGCATTATTAAAAATTAAATCTTAACCTAACCTAACCTAACTTTTAAATAGCTGATCAAAAATTGTTTTAATAAAATTATAATTTAGTTATTGGTCGTTAGAGTAGAGGAAAAATTGACTTATAATTTTTTTGTGCGATAAAAAAAAGTAAAAACATTATTAATTTTTTAAAATTATTCATAGTAAAAAAAAAAAAAACAAGAAGAAGATAATTTTAAAACTAGAACTAATTATCACTTAAATAAAAAACAATAGGCCTAATAAGAACTTCGTCAATTATTTCTTGATTATGGATTTAATTATATGACATGGCCTAAAATTAGTTTTTAGGCTCAAGTGAAAGGCTCATGTGTCTTACTTAAATCTAGAATTACTTTCTGTCGCGCCTCTCTTGTCTGAAAACGCCTCCTTCTGTGTCTCTTCTATTCTCTAAAAACGATTCTTGCCCTGGTTTTTTCTTCTTTTCTAAAAACTATTTTTGCCTTGGTCTCTTCTTCTTGATTTTTGTATTTTATATTTGCAGCACTTAAAATTCTACAAAAGCTGTGCGGTTGATAGAGATAAAAAGGCCAAAAAAAGAGACCAGCTACCAGCCTGCAAAGGCTGAAAGGGTGTATATATACACATATATAATATGGGTATATAGTGGTACATAACGGTAACATCATTATTTACTATTATAGTCATGAGACAGACAATGAAGCATCCAAATCGTCGAATAATAATAACAGGATATCCTGTATCATTATATAACGGTCGTTATAGAGCTATTTGAAACTATGCTAGTGCCTACCCAACAAACTATTTCCTGGCAAACCATCTACTGTCCTCAAGAAATCTCTAATACTTAATTTTCTGTTTCTAATTCGCGATGAAGTTCTTTTCATGGCACTGCCTGCGTTATATATACATTACACTCATGATGGCAATTTTGTTTTGTTTGTCTACTTATGCTTAAGGGTTGTTGCTGTTATAACAAAGACCCTCATTCAGGTCATAGCATTTGTCATTCGATCAATGGATATCATAAGCCTTCTATGCTGACTCTGAGTACATGAATGAAAGAAAAAAACAAGAGTAGCTAGGACTCGGATTTCAATTCGTGCTTCAATCCTCCATGAGCTCACAATCAATCCTTTGAAAGTACAACTTGTTTTGACCAATATCATAACCCACATTATAGTTCTGTTGGGCCATTATTCCAATGACGGACAAATTTTTGGAGTTACCTCCATTGACAATACTAGAACCTATGGCCATGCAAAACACTCTTGGAGCTACGTGAAGAAACGTACTTTGTGTGTCAAGCACCAATTCAGCTCCATTTGCAAAATGGAAAGTTACTGCTGGGAACCCACTAAGATCCTCACTCACACTCCCAACGTAGCACAATTGATTAGGCATGCCTTTGTACCGTCTTAACATTCCTTTCAAGAGACTTCGAACTTCTTCACTAACTGCATTATATGCATCTTGGGCTAGCCAAGTATATGCAGTTCCTGAATCAAGGATCACTCCATCATCAACCACGGCCGTCCTTTCAAATATACCACGGTCTATGTCTAGCATTTTACCATCGAAACTAATTCCTTCTAGTGTTACATAATAGCGGCCATACCGGCTTTCTAAAGGTGTCGAATCACCTTCCATTATTGCTCCATCGCCGAAGGATAGTTGGTTGTAAGGATAGTGAGGATCCATAATATTACCAACGCAATAGGAGAATCGAGAACCTAATTGAGTTATTACAGATGTGTCTCTGCCAGCTCCAAGTCCAAATACTCCATTGTATTGGCCACTATCAACTTCAAACCTTCGGCCACACCCCAACAGTACCCTGGGCACCACAATCTCGGTGTCATCTATTGTCTCAAAGGTAAGTTGTTCGAAAACGTAGATTCCTGTCGATCCAGGACCTCGAACATAAGTTATGTTGTAAGTGCATTCGTTATAGGAGTTGCATTTGGAATAGCCACAGCTATATCTCCTGCATGACATGCTGGTATAAGTGAAGGACCTGCTAGGATCGAAAATTGAAATAGGTAATTTGCTCGAACAAGGACTGCAAGGAAGGCACTTCACCCATAGAAAACTACTGCCGGTATCCATGATTGCAAGCTGTGGAATTGGTGGATGGCCGATCGAAAAATTTATGTAGAATAGTTCACTAGGCTGGCTAGGGAGAAGATTGGTCTGAATGTCGTGGCTGTCTGAAACCAGTTTCGACACCTGCACAAGACGCTCAATTGAAGTTTTGATAGCTCGTTTTGCACGATCAACTACAGTGTCATTAGCATTATAACGGGGAGAAAAGATGGATTCACGATGAATGAGTTTGGTGACCAATCGTTTAGGTTTGGGGATGGTGGGTGCAAGTGCAACCATGGTGGTGCTCATCATGGTCATGGTAAAATGACCCGTGAAAGCTACGAACAGGATTGCTAAATCTATAGCCGCCATGGAAACAGTTGTCGGATGCTAGGACTTGGGATTCTTTAACACTAGAAAGGGAGCTTGGAATACAGTATCCGGGGCAGACAGAGGAGAGTATAAAGAAAAGGAGCATGGAGAAAGATGATGTTTAGGTTAGTATTGGGAGAGGAACAGAATGAGCGTGAAAGCATTTAAATTTTGAGGATATGTGTAAAAAATGCAGAGAAATAATATGAAAAATAAGAAGCCTCTCTTATGCCATATGCTCAAATCATTTTCTCAATGTAATTGTGTAGTTAAAATCACCACCTACTGATTTTCTAAACCGATACATCTCATGTATTCCAACACAGAAACATTTCTCCTGTGTGGGATTAAAGCAATAATTTTTTTTTTTTTGAGTTTTACTTAGGTATTCAATTTTATATTGTTGATACAATTAATCATATAATTTTAATTTTTTTCAATAAATAAAATTTTAATATTCAAATCATATATATTAATAAAAAATTTATATAAAGATCAACTCGTTTATCATTAAACTAACAATAATTTTTTTTTAAATAATAATAAACAAGATAGAACGAACCATTTCAAAATGTATGAATTTCATGAGGACTAATTGAGGCGACAATCACAAGCCCACAGCTAATTTTGGGATTTAATGAATGTTTAGGCGGCTGGATAGTACCAATCACCACGGAGATCGGAAGGATATTTGAAAAAAAAAAAAAAACAACTTTGTTTATCATATACAAATTACAAGTACCATCCACTAACTTTCAGCGAAGAACCTTTCAATTTTCTTTCATGTCATTTTTTTCCTTGGCATAATTGCATTGTGAATATTAATTTTTTAATTGAATGTATAGATTCAATTTTTTTTTAATTTGAATGTAATTTTATTTTATATATATAAATTGTCAATCAAATATATTTCTCAAATTTTTTAATTGACGTGACTCTTAAAATATCAAATTATAGTTTTGAGCTTTTTTTTTTTTTTTTGGAGAAAAGTTTCTCCCAAATTATTCTACAATTTATTAAGAAAAAATGAAAGTAAAAGAGTATTTGTGCTTCTTTTTCTTTAAATAACAACTTCTTTTCTATTTTTTTAATAAAAAATTGTTTTCTCAAATCAAAAGAGAAAAATATTGTAATTTATTATTTTGAAGTTAATAAAGAAATTAAAAAAATACTTGATTGATAATTTTTAAAAAATTAGTGTTTTAAAAAAAATTAAAATTTATATACGCAATTAAAAAAAAAATTAAAAGTTAGTGATCAAATTTCAATTCATATTCTCATGGCCTTTTCTTAGCCCTTAGCCCAAGCCTGCAAATGATTCACACGCATTTCGGCTTGTGAGCTAGATCCGGGCCAGTATGCTAATCTGTGTCCCAAATGATGCTTTTTCAGGCAAATATATCTACCGATTAAAAAAGAAAAACTTAAGTTACTTCTATCTGATTGGATTTTAGGCCATATTTATCAGGAAGTATGGATAAGAAAAACAGATAAATTGGAATGATGGATGAGTAATTTAGTTGTTTTACTAATAATAAAAAAAGGAAATGATAAAACTCAATCCATCCACCAATTCATGAACATTGAAAATTATAAATGAAGGAAATAATACGAGTCAATTTGCCTTAATTTTTTTTTTTTTTTTTGGTCTTTATCTTTCTTACCAAACATGAATATCTAATCCTTACGTGCTATTCATCATCTCCACAATCCCTCCTAACAAACAAACTCTCACATAAATTATCCACACTCATGATAATATATTCACAAAAATCACGATCCTCTATAATATTCAAATCTTGGTCATTAAATCTAGTTATAATGCAAGCTTCTTAGCTTCAATGGTGCAGTGCAAGAAACTTTTTTGTTACTCATAGAGTAATTAGTAATACTTATTATAAAAAAAGATAAAAATAAAAATTCTACATGTAAATACTCTTATCACTTTTCATGAATATATATATATAATTTTTTCACTTTTGTTTATGCATTATCTCTCTCTTTAAAATAAAATACTTAATAAATATTATTAATTATTCTATAAGTATTTTAAAATTTCTCATGCACTATCGTCATATCCAATTGTCTTTCTATGCATTCACTTTTTGTATAAGAAAGGGAGAATGTTAATTCTCAGCTTATAAAAGAGCAACCGAATAACGGTTTGAATTTGATGATTCACAAACTTAGAAAATAATTTAATATTTTATTGCCTGAATAATACTCGAAATTTTCAGGTCCTGAACATAATTAGACCTCAATGGATTGACTGACCGCATCTGTTAATGTTGATGGATCAGTGGTGCAGCAACAATATTTTTTACCGCTGGGATCTGCTTTACAAGTCCCAAAATAAATTCCAAAAGCTTTCGAGCATATATCAGGGCATTGATCATCATAGTAGCAGCTAATATTCGAACTATTTTCGCATCTTTCTCCTTCTGAATTGCTCAAACCTACAAAAATAAATAAAAATATATATATCTTCAACATATTCTAACAATCGAACCCTTCATAATTTTTATTTCAGAAAAGGAGAAAGAAACATTATATATTTTGATCGGATCATTATAATTCGTTCAATGAACAACGAGATTCATGTTTGGATATTGAGAAAAAAGAACTGACAATCAGAAATCTTTGGCACATATACAATTAAAGAAAATAGGAGGAGGAGGAATATAAATCGTTACCGAAGGTTAAAAGGAGACTGAACATGAGAACTATAGCAGCCATTGTTTGCTTGGACGCCTTGAAAAGAAATATCTCACAGCACTTGAAGAAGAAAGCAGGACTAGAGATATGATTTCTGTATATACAGATTATTTAGCCCAACCAATCTTATATATATATCCTTTAATCAAACCTAAATCGATTTGTAATCATTTAATGTAATTTGATTTTATATCCTACATAAATATATAAATTAAAGTTTAATTGTTTTTTCTTTATCTTGTGTAATGGTATTAAATTATTTTTACACGTCTTAATTTCCATATACTCTATTATTCATGATCTGTTAATTTCATTTGAGAATCTCTTACCCATGATTTATTAAAATTTAGTTTCTATTCATAATTTTCTTCCTTTTGAAATAGCTGTAGAATCTTTTTGTTTTTGTTTTTGTTTTAATATCAATTTCATAGGTACTAAATAAACTATAAACGACCATTAGGTCCTAGTTTAGTGGCAATAAACCAATGGCGAAGTTAGGATAAAAAAATTAATATTGTATTGAAAAATTTGTATTCTCTCCGTCCTAAAAAATTTTCCTTTTTAACTTTTATACAAATTAAGAATGTTATTAATTTTTATGCCATATCAGCATATTTTGTTCATATATATTTTTTTTAAGAATTGTATTTGAACAATCTTTTACGAAATGAAATTTAATAAAAGATATTTTAGAAAAAAAAATGTATTATTTAAAGTTTTGATCAGATAAGTATTTTGAGACATATATAAATAGAAAAATAAACAATTTCTTTTGGACGGAAATAGTATATTTATTACTATTTTAAGATATTAATTTTCCAATAGCCAAAAAGAATTTTATTTGACTTATAACTAAGTATTAGATTTACTATATATCACTGTCTCATATATTTTTTTCTTTAATTTAGTACATATGATTCTATAAGTAAGAAAAAAAATAAAATTCATTATATACCTTTTCTTGTGTAAATAAGAAAATGTACTAAATCCAAATGTTAGATTTCATAAGGAGCTTTTTATTATTTTTAAGTACCTCTCACTTACTCTTTCAAACACTATAATTATTATTATTGTAATAACCCAAAATTCACTCATTTTATTTTATTTATTTATTTTATTATTTAAAAACCAAAAAAATAAAAAAATGATGAAAAAACTAAAAAACATTCATTCAAGGGCACAGTTGCATTTAAATGAAGATATAATAGAGGTAATTAGAGATACAATCGAATCAATTAAAAAATTTAGAACACCCTACAAGGACCCAATTGATAATATTGTGCTTTATAAGGATTGACATTATACCATAGAAGGATATGATTGCTGATAATTGAAGTTCACGAGGACCAAATTGAAGGTTTGGAGCGAACGACAGGACTGCAATGGAGAGGACGACTTGTCGTCCACCCCAATGCAGATTCTCTCCGAAAACCTTTCAGAGAATCGACCCAAATCCCCCACAAATTTTCTGTTTCGATTCTACATTTATCATGATTCTTGACTAAATTAATTTTGACAGAGAATTAAGCAATCACGAATTCCTTTACTTGTTGATTAGGTAATCGAATCTCAAATTTGAGATTTTAAAATTTTGATAGCAAAAGTTGGGATTGATTGTTGATTCTAGGAGAACTTCAAGGAGATTTGTAGCTATAAAAAGGGTTTGAATTCACAGAAAAATGGAGGAGGAGAGGAATTCTGGTTTTCAAAGGGTGTGAAAATCAACGATTTTTTTTTGGGAAATAATTGCTGAATTTTTGGGCCTCTCTGGATAGAACTTGTTCTTCGTGTTCTTCATTGTTCTTCATTTCGGATTTTGAGTTCATCCCTTTTTGGACTCGTTGTTTGATCCTTCAAGGTTTGGGGGCAATTAACATAAGTTCTTTAACTTTAATTTCGAGGTTTGAAGCTTCAATTACCGTTTTTGGGGTCTTTCATTCAAATCTTCTTGGGTAGCGTTGGTCTTTTTCTGGGTTCTGTGTTCTTCACTTTTCTAGGTTTTCAAGCTCCCGGTTTTATTCCATTTTTTTCCCTTTCACTAAAAATTTATGGGCAGAGTCTTTCGTTGGTTTAGCTCCCAATAATCCATAAACTTCCAAGCAAATTGTCTTTACCAAATCTAGCTCGAAGCCATCATTCTAACCTGCAAAAAAAATAAAAATCAGCAGCAATCGCAACGACAAGTCCAAAATTGTTCTTCATTCCCTTGGTGTTTCTCAGGTAAATCCTAATACCAAAATCATTCCACTTTTTGTTATCTTAATTTGTAAGTTGTTTTTATTAGA